AAAAAAAAAGAGTGGAAAGAAGGGGGTCAGGAGAGAGATGTCCTCCTGCCCCTCACAAGGCCATTCTTTATACAGGTAGACACCTGTGAGGGTGAGCAGGGAGGCCCAGGAATTGGAAACTTTTTGCCTTCAGCCCCTAGGAAGGAGAGATGGCCTGAGACCACGAACACCTGGGACTCCTCTGCTTCCTTGGTTTTACTGTGTTCACCTCCACATGGCAGAGGTCAGACACAGAGCAGGCTGCCTGAAGACAACGCCACCTTGATGGTACCTAGAATGCTCCCAGATGCAAAGGGCGACAGATGCCACCCAAACTTGAAAAGTGGCAGGAATGCAGACCAGACAGCACTGACATGATGGTAAGGGTCTGTGTTTCCTGGGCTTCTAAGTCAGCCGGCTCTGACATGAGGATGGCGAGGGGTGAGAGACCCTGGGAGAGGACCTGGAAGCAGAGGACCTGGAAGGGGGCTAGGCCAGCCACACGGAGGCATGGGCGCAGGCACCCAAACCCTGAGGGCACACCTTCCAGCTGGAACCTGGAAGCAGCAGGGCCTGGATACCTGGGACCTTTCTCTTCCTCTTCTTTGCTCCTGGTGCCTTATCCTGAAGGATCCCAACTCTCACAGAATTTTCCATTGCACAGATGGCTAAGAGAGGCTTGGGCCTGGCAAAAAGGACAGGAGGGGCCTCTTGTGGTTGACTGGTCTCCAAGAGGAGCTGGAAAGGGACAGGATGAGTTGCAGGAGCCAGCCCAGGACCCATTGAACACCTTCCCTCATCTACCATCCTGACAGTGGTTGTCCCCTTAACAGGATAAGAGGACACTGAGTGACAAGGAGGAGCAGCAGCCTGCTGAGGTGACCCACAAGATCAAGGCACCTCCCACTGCTGGATCTGGGACTATGTAAGCACTGGATGCTGTCTGGAGTCCAGGCCTAACCCCAGGAGTTGAGCTCCCCCTCCACCGCCCCCTGCCCCATCACATGGCAACAGTAAGCCCTGCGCACTGCCTGTGCAGGTACCTGGACAGCCTCTGTGGTGATCTTGGGTCTGACAAAACCAGGACACAAGCCACACCTCAAGTGGTACAGCAAGTGGCTCAGGAAAGCAGGGTCCAGGACCCTGACTCCACTCAAGCCCTCATAATACCTACCCACCCCAGATATGGCAAAGGACCCCCAAACCACATAACAACTGATAAGGAGTGCTGGAGGCTGGCCATAGCACAGGACAGGACACTCTCCCTCGTAGCTCTGCGGGCCAGCGGCCCCAGGGGGCCTGCTGGACACTAGGTGGGGCCCCACATCACACAGTTCAGTGAGGAAGAGCTTCAAGAGGATCAAGATCTGTGACCTGGTATGGTGGGCCTGGAGGGGCTGAGGAATCCCCCAGGGTCCCAACAGAGGTGGCCTCAGGCAGGAGGAAAAGGAAAGACAAGAACAGCCCAGCAGGGTAGCAACATATCTGTGGTTTCAGTGCTCAAGAGATGAGGGCAGGAGGATCACAAGTTTAAGACCAGCCTAAGCAACATAAGGAGAGGGAGGGGGGAGGGAGAGAGAGAGAAAGAAACAGACAGACAGACAGGCAGGCAGGCAGGCAGACAGACAGACAGATACCCAGAGAAAGAAGGAAAAAGGAAAAGAGATCAAAGAGGAGGAGGAGGATAAGAAAGGGATAGAAGTAGGCAGAACACACACCTCTTGCAGAAGGAAGAGTCCTGGGCCAGGAGGTCAGGAGTCATCCCCTCCACTCATACAGTCTGAACTCATACATCAATTTGCTAACAAAGGATGGGAAATAACAGTGAGGCCAGGGCCGGGGAGATGGCTCAGTAGAATGAGCACGTGCCAAGGTCCTGAGTTCAACCCCCAGTTCCGCCAAAAAAACCACAACTTTGGTTTGGGACGGGGGAGATAGCTCATTAGAATAAGCATTTGCCTGGCAAGCGCAAGGGCCTGAGTTCAATCCCTGGTTCCACAAAACAACAACAACAAAAAAAAAAAAAAAAACCCCAGTAAGGCCAATGCCATCTGAGTGCTGCTTGATCTTACCAACTGAGAAGCAAATTTCCTTTCCTCGTTTCAGGGCATACCTAAAGGAAGACTCTGAAATGCCCAACATGCACACTGCAGAACAGACACCTGGATGCCCAGGCAGAGTGGGCAGCCAGGACTGCCCACAGGAAGCAGGACGAGACCCGCAGGTGCTCACCTTGTCCACATGTGCGTGCCAGTACTCATCGTGGGCTGTCCGCGCCTCAGTGCTGTTTATGCGTGAAAAGAACGTGGGCTTGGTCAGGTACAGAGAGGATGCGCTGATACCGAATGCCTCTGCGATTGTGAGCTGGACCTTCCGCCGCACATCCCTGTGGAGAGTATGGAACAGCGCTGAGAACCTGCCCAAGGGGGTGCTCCGCTGGTCCCCAGGGCCTGCACACACCAGAGGTAGAATGGTGGCCATCAGGCACACACATCCCCAGATATGTGCCAGTTGGAGCCGAGGTACAGATGGGATAACCACAGTACCCGCAATGACTTTTCCAGGATGGTCCGGAGCCTGTGGAGGTCACCTGCACTCTGCCTGAGTGGTGCCCATGGGGGATGGTGGCCTCTCTCTGCAGACCAGGGCATGTGTCTCTGGAGCCTGGCACAAATTTGCCACATCAGACCCATGCGGGTGGCTGCCAGCATTGATGCTCTAAGTAATTCAGCAGAGCTGGGCCCTAGGGAGCTCCAAGGAACCAGTTCTGGGAGGTTGGCATCCAGGGCAGCAGGGCTGGGCAGACTAACCCAGGGCCATTCCAGTGTCTACAAACCTCCATACTTATTGTCTACACATACATATAGATGCACACACATATACCAGCTACCTGGAGAGAGAGAGAAAGAGAGAGAGAGAGAGAGAGAGAGAGACAGACCAACCTTCCTACATACATACCTACACACATCTTGTATCCTCCATACACACCAGAAGCATCATGTACACACATGTATGCACGATATACACATTCACACAAAGTAGTGCTCTGTGCATGCATGGTTGCACATACACATGGCAGCTTCTGTGCCCACCCACCACACACAGGCTAATCTATGCATCTACCTACGTGCATACCTACACGTATACATGTAGATATATATCAAGCCATTCCTAAAAGCACTACCAAGTGATCTAGTGTGAGCTCAACTGTTCACACAAGACTTGAACACTTCCAAACCACCCCTTACCCTCTCAACACAGGCCAAATTGGCATTGCCATTGAAGGGGTAAATTAAAATTTTAAGTGAAAGCCTGCCAACATAGCCTACCCAGGATGCCCACCAAGACCAAGCAGGCTCAATAACAGAATACTTCTTCCTTTGTGTAGCCCCTGTCTTTACTGCCTTTGTATGACTGATGGCCTTGCAATGTAACTTTAAAGATAACAAGGCATTTTTCCTCTGCATAACCCATGTTTTGTATAACTGATGGCCTTGTGATATAACCTATGTTTAAAACTCCTTCAGCAATCCATCACCCAACCCTCCAATAACAATGTGCCAAATCTGCTTTTGTGCCTGCCCACTCGCCTTAAAAACCCCTGGAACCCCACTGCGCAGGGTCTTTGGGAAAAATCCCAGCCAAGCCTCCTTGTTGCTGTTTCTTCCCATGTTTGGTCTGCTTTCCATAATACCATGAGACAAGGCTCACTCAGGGCCAGTGTCCCGTCCTCTCAGTGGCTCCTTCAACTCCTGCACATCTAGCATCAGGAGCTTCTCCTGAGCTCACAGCTGTGTTCAAAATGTTCCACCTTTCAGGAGGGAGCGAGGTATGTGTTCAATATCTCTGAGACTGACAGAGGCAGAGAAATTATTTATGGAGACATTGTGAATTTTGTTGCTTTTTTTTTGAGACACGGTCTCACTGTGTAGTCAAGGCTGGCCTTAAACTCATGGCAATCCTTTTCCCTCCCAAGTGCTGGGATTACAGGTGTGAACTGCCAAGCTCAGCAGGTTATTCTTTCTGAATTTTTGTTCACCTTCAAATTTTAAAGCTTGGGCTGGCCAGATAGCTCAGCAGAGCGCATTGGCCAGGGTTCCATCCCCAGCCTACCGTGCTGACCCCACCCCCGGGGCTCACTGAAAGGGCAACTGAGACTGGGCATGAAGGCTCATGGCTGTAATCCCAGTGTTTGGGAGGCTGAAAACAGGACAATCACTATGAGTCTGATCTACATAGTGAGACCCTGTAGACCCTGTAGACCCTGTATCAAATACAAAAAAAAAAAGTAAAGCTTTGCAAACAGCATTTAATAATTTTTTAGAGTTCAGCAAGTTGAAGGAATTTAAAAAGTCTGTGTTAGTCTTCAATTCTGTCATCAAATAGTTTCACATAATGCATCCATTTAATAGTTCTAATACTTAATTTTGCTCCAAAAAGCAGATCACTCTCTTTTTCTTTTTGAGACAGAGTCTCACTATGTGGTTCAGGCTGGCCTTGAACTCACATTGATCCTCCTGCCTCAGCTTCCTGAGTGCTAGGGTTACAGGCATGCTCCATCGTGCCCAATTTAAATCTTTTTCTTTTTCTTTTTTTTTTTAGTAGTAGGGATTGAAGCCAGGGCCCCACACATACTCTGCAAGCACACTACCACTGAGCTACAACCCTAGCCTTTTTCATTTTGTTTTAAGACAGGCTCTCACTGAATTGCCCAAGTTGGGCTCAAGCTTGCACTCCTCCTGCCTCAGCCTCCTGAACACCTCAGAAACAAGCATGTGCCTCTTGCCTGGCCCCTTTTTCTACTTCTATAATAGATCTTTGTTTTTTTCAAATGCCTCCTTTTACTTCGGTAGGTGTAATCATCTGGTACCTCGCCAAAAAAAGCCAATTTTAACAAACTCTGCTATCCTGGACGCCCTGTTCCTCATTGCCCATCATGATGTCCCTGGGGACCAGCACCCCAGACTGTCCACAGAACAAAACGATCCTCTGCTTGTCACTTCTGCAGTTTCTGTCTGTGGGGATCACATGTCCTCTCTGATATTTACTAAAAAAATGGTAGATGACACATCCTCTGCATCATCCAGTGACTTGGGGTCACGCTAACTCCCCACCCCTGTGTCACTGCATAGCAACCCCAGGATTCCAGCAACTTCTTGGCACTGAGATGTTGTTCTTCAACATGAATCTCAAGGATGGAGGACTTCTGTGCTTCCTCCCAGCTCCACGAGATAGAGTTGCAAGACTGCAAACAGCACCTGCGGCTCTTCCCATGTCTGTGCTGGGGACAGGTGTCATATCTTAGCTAGACAGTGTGCGGTGGTGGAGCGAATGGGGTGGTAGAAGGTGGAATCTCTCTGCTGTGAGTAATAGGTACCTCTATTGTAATCTATAAATGAAAAGTTCAATTTTAAACAGTCCCCAGCAAAAGTCCTGCCTCTAGGTAAAAGCTGTGCCCAACAGAAAGGTCCCTGGTCTGAGGCGGGTGCTGGGGAGGCCCCAGGGCTGCCAGAGTGATACCGCACAGCTGATTCTCACCTGGAACCAGGCTGGATTCCAGGCTACAGTGGTTTTTACCCCCGTGACAGTCTGGTGTGACCTCAGAGGGAGCCGGAAGCTTCTGGCCACCCCAACCCCTCTCCTTCTGCTGCTCACCGGTACAACTGGAAGTCCTCTTCAGAGAAGATAGTTTGTATTTTATCCCCAAAGTATCTGTAAAAAGATAAGGATCATTAGCCAATGAAACATTTTACTAATCTCTTACTTCCCTGAAAGTTAAATCTTTCCTCAACAAAACAGCAAGCCCCTTAAATGAACCCATCCCATTATCCTACAGCTGCTTGGCTTCTACCATAATCTCTGTGCCACAAGAGGTGGGGAGCCAGGTATGTCTATAATTCCAGAACTGGGAGCCTGAAGCAGGAGGATTACAAATTTTACTTAGTGAGATCCTATCTAAAAAAAAAAATTTTAAAAGAGGAGGTGGATTGGGGATATACCTCAGTATTAAAGCCTTGTACTGAAGGGGGATAATCAGTGGGGGAATCTCCCAGGGTTGTTCAGCTTTCACAAGCACCCAAAAGTCTTCAGGCCTTCCTGGCAACAAGACCTGCAGCCTACAGACTTCCTCTTTCTGCTGTCCCATCCCAGGGTCCACAGTAGGCCCAGAACATGATACCAGAGTCTCTTCTAAAGATCAAGGACCAGGTCTCTACCCTGGAACAGGCTCTGAGCAACCCTGTCCCCAGCCCACCTGGGCTGTTGCCCTTGACCAGAAGCCACCATTCCCTCAGCCCTCTGGATGTCCAAGGCCTAGAACACACCATGCGCTCACTCAGCTGCTCCCAGGCCTTTCCCTCACCTGTACAGGTTCACAAAGTGCTTCCCGATGGACAGGGCCCCTGAGTGCAAGTCCAGGATGGACGCCTGGAAGAGACGTATAGAGGCTAAGACAACATGACCATTGTTTTCTTTTTTTTTTTTTTTTTGTGGAACCGGGGATTGACCATTGCTTTCAAAGCCTCCCCCTCCCCCAGTTAAACCCAAGTCCCTGAGGTCCCAGATCTGTCCAAACCCACCCTATCTCTGATGCCTGAAGAAGGGGCCCAGTGCTCTGGACACTACACATACACAAGCCCTCAAAAGCACCATGCTCCTGCAGCGGTCACACACCTCTCCTCCTTCCCTCATGCCCCCACTTGTGCTACCCTTCCAGTCACAGGGAATCAATCACATTTTCTAGTTCAAGGTGAGGGACACAGGCCAGGGTCTCCCCTGGCATCACTATCTGGATGTACTTGTGCCGGCCCTGAGCAGATTCCCCTGCGTGGATGTCACTCCATCTGGTGTCCATTGCCTGTAGAAGGCCAGAGGGTGGTTCTGGCTGGAACTGTGGCCAGTAGGGATCCACACACAGCAGCCACAAGGCCAAGTTCATGGATATTCTCAAGGCTCTTGGTGAAGACCTCATGTGGAATTCCTGGGTCATAACTTTTTAAGGAACTGCCACCTACCCCAGGGTTCTTCCCTATACCCTGGGAGGGAAGCAGTCACATTGGGCAGATCAGCTCAACCGAATCAAGTCATAGTCACAGAGTCCATGTAGATACACCCTTTAGAGTCCACAGCCTTGAGCCATGGGAGACAGGCCCACAGTATCTGTGGAGTCTCTGGCTTACAGGTGACAGAACATTTGAACATCTTCTGCTAAGTACGGGTTCAGCCCACCCCTCAACTCCTCAGGCTCTCCTGTGGCCGGCCAGGATTTGTTCTTGCTGCCTCACTGGGCTCCTGATCCTTCCCTCAGCTCCCTGACACCTCCCTGCCTCCTAACCTCCCACCTGGAGTAGCTAATGTGAGTATGCGACCTGAGGTCAGGCAGGCTGTGTGTGATCAGGTAACCTGAGGTCAGGCAGGCTGTGCATCAGTGGGGCAGCAAAGGTCCTCCATGTACATCACCTCCCCTCCAGGACAGCAGAGGGTGAAGCCAGAGGTGGACAGGCAGAAGCCAGGTTCAACTCACCCCTCCATCAGATCCGCCCAGGGAGAGGCCCTTCTCTGCTACTCTGTGGGGGAAACAACCCAGATCAGAAGTCATCTAGGAGGTGTCTAGGCAGAACACGGATCAGCATAAGCAATGTCAGGCTACTTGGTTTTGCTTTGTCACCAAACCTGCAGACCTAAAGGCTCAGCTTTCAAAACCAGGCAAGCAAGCACCATGTCACTATCTCCCCGTGACACTCAGCCTGGCTTGGAAGCTGCTAATTCCAAACTTCAACACTTGAGCACAAACTTAGTCAGCAGCCAGAGGTACCAGACTGCTCCCAGGTGGGTGGGGGGCTTTGATCCTCCCCACTCAGGGCAGGCAGACACCTGAGTCAGGCCAGGGAGGACCACTCTGCTCAAGAACTAGCAGCTTGGATGAACACTGAGCCACACAGGCCATCAGTAAAACACCCTAACCCCACTCCCTATAGGACAGTACTGCTAGAGAGGGCAGCCATGAGAGAGGGCTCATGCCCACGGGAACCCCTTGAGGCCCAAACTGATCCCACACACTTAACCAGCGAGTCTAACCAGCTGGTAGAAAAATCAAAACTTCAGGATTCTGATTTTAAAATCTCAACAGGATAGCTGAACATGGTGGCACATGCACGTAATCCCAGCACTTGGAAGGCTGATACAAGAGACTCGCCAGGAGTTTGAGGCCAGCCTGGGCTACACAGTGAGTTCAAAGCCAGCCTGGACTGTATAGTAAGATCCTATCTCAAAAAAACCAAAAGTACAAGAAAAAAGTAAACAAATAAATAAAATAAAATCTCCACAGGGAAAAGTGCAACACCTACTGCTTTCTAAGTGGGCATCTGTGCAGCTTGGTGAGGACTAAAAGCAAACACTGAATGTCCCCGGGGCTGCTGGCTGAGGCTGGGGTGCACAGGTCTGTACCCCAGCCCAGCAGAACTCCTGCAGAGTGGGTTGGGGACGTGGGCAGAGAGGTCAGGCTGAGCACCCACAAGATTCTGTCAGCAAGGACTTCTCAAGCGCCCCAGACCACCTCCTGGACACCTGCCCTGTCCTGCCCTGCCCTTGAAAGCACAGGAGGGACCGCTGTGGGATATGCCCTGGCCCAGTCTCCCCTTGTGCCTTAATCCTGACCCACGGATGCCCAAGGCAGAACGCTCTGCCTCTGCCTCCTTACCTGCGAATGCGCTCTGCCTCCTCCCTGGAGATGACAACGTCAGTGACACCACGGCCACACTTCCTGGGAGTGCAGCCTACAGGAATGACAATCAAGATGTAAGGCTTACTTCCAAAGCTCCTGTCCTAGGACAGTGGGGCTACACGGCCCTCCCATAGGAGCAAGTCGGCCAGTGTGAGCAGTACCTGGGTTAGATGTCAACTCTAGAGAAGAAGCATACCTCCTCCTCAGAGGCCCCTTCTCGGCCCCAGCTCCCAGGAAGCCATAGAAGCCTCCAGACCCAGGACCACCAGCACTCTAGGTGCTCCTCCTAGGACCCATGGAGAAGCGTGGAGCGCCAGCCATTGTCTTCCCTGGGGGCAACAGCCTGGGTACCAAGTGTCCTGATTCTTCCTGGACCCTGGGGATCTCCAGACAGAGAGGAAGGAAGCTAAGAACCTTATATGAGGATAGGCTGGACGGGGACAGGGGTCTCAGTGGGTAGAGGCATGGTGGATGAGGTTAGGGCTATGATAGAAAGGAGCCCAGATGCAGTGTAGCATCAGAGGTGAGCCCAGCCAGTGACGGCCCTTGCAGAATTCTAGCTACAAAGCGCAGACTTGCTCCCCAATCCAGGTAGCATGGGAACCTGTGACTGCTCTGGGAACTGCTGCTTGTTTCTCATTCCCCACTCCTCTCATCTGATTCCTGCCTGGACATGAGCTTGAAGCCAGAGGGTGGAGCCATTGTCCCAGAACATCTGCATGAAAGCCAGGTAGCACTGCCCTAGGTCACAGATACTAGCTGGCAAAGTAGCTCAATGCAAATGTCCTGGGTTCAATTACCAGTATTACAATTAAAACAAACAAACAAAAAAACACAAAAAACAGATAGCAGAGGTGCAGCAAAGCAAAGACTGCAACATCACCCAACAGCAACAGTGTGCTTGCCCACTGGACAGGTGTCAGAGAATGACTTAGCAAAGGTCACAAGCAGGTGACAACATCCTGTCTGTGGACAATCTACAATCACACACTCCCAAGGATTAGTGTCAGGGTTGCCTGCTTCCATCCTGAGCAGGGGTTTTCACAACAAACCACCTACCCAAACCAGAGACCTGCTAAACAGGTAAGCAGCACGTAGTCCACGCTCACTCTGCTGGCTGAGGAGACAGAAGGGAATGGGAGGTAACAGAGTCTACCAGCTTTAAGTACGTTGTAACTTTCTACTATGGAATATGCATAATGTAAAATTTACTACCCTGGCCATTTTTCAGTGCACAGTTTGGAGGCAGTGCGCATATACACAGTGCTGCACAGCCATCAAACTGTCCCTCCCCAGGGCTTCTCATCTTGCCAAGTGAAATCCTGTCCCACTAAACAACACTTCTAATGTTGATAAATTGTTAATTGAGTAGGAAGAGGCTTCTGTCTTTAGTACAAACTGTCTGGAAAGTATTTCTTGTGTTGGAAGGTTGAGGCAGGAGAACTGCTTACACTTGTGAGTTTTAGGCCAACCTGGACAACACAGAGATCATCTAATAGGTATATATAAACAGAAAGAGGGAGAGTGTGAGCGAGCAGGTGTCAGCCTGGACATTTCAGGAAAAGGTCTTGAGATACACATGCCCACGTGACAGCAGCAAAGCTGTTTCACTGATGCCCTTTCCTCAAAGGAACCCTGCAAACACAGCTCTGCCGTTTTCCTCCGCACTGAATGCAGGGCTCCCAGTTTTGCACCTTACTACATTGCCCCTTGGTAGAAGAACCTGGCAATCTTTTCTTAGTTCAAGTCCAAAGCATCACTTTGAATAAAAAAATAAATCAATTCTGTCCTAAAAACACAGTCGTACATATTAAGCTTTAAAAAGGAGAGTGCAGCTGGGTGGTGTGGACTGCTTGGGGATGCGCAGCAGCCAGACACCCATAGGTGGCCAGTGCAGGGTGTGAGCTCCAGCGTACCAGCCTTTTCCCATCCTGGTGGTCCTGGAACTGGGGCTCCTTCCTCCTGGCTTCATCTAGTGTCATCACTGAGCACACAGCTGTGACTTCAGGCCCAGGACACACGATGATGGGGAAAGCCTTCTACCAGAGGTATTTAAGTCATTTTCTGTGACATCTTCTATAATCAGGCTCCAACTTTCTCATCTCACCTCTCTTATTTTGTCACTGGACATCACCACTTGCTATACCACTGACCACATCTGCTGGCATCTTGGCCTGTACTCCCATGTCAGGTATGGGCTGGTCTACCTAGCGAAGGAAACACTGCTGCCCCACACATGCCACTTCCAACCTGACTCCCACTCATTCATTGCAGCAAAAGGCAATGTCGAATCTTCTCTCAGCCTTTCTCCTTTCTGCTGTGGGATCCACAGCACTATACCTTCGAACCTTCGGTGGCCATCGTAGTCCTCAGAACAGGGCACTTCAATGAACTTGCCCTCCAGGATCTCGTCACGGTGGGCCAGGACCTCAGCAACACCATCATCAGCCCCCAGGCTGCTCCAGATCAGGATGGAGGCCAGTACAACACTGGCCCCCAGGCCCAAAGTCTTTAGCCATCCTCTCCAAGTTTCTCTCAGCTCCCGGTCCTTCTTGGTGCTAAGAAAGAAAACACAACCACTGTCATCAGAATGCAGCTGCTCATGTTGTACATGCAGATGAGACCCAGCTGCAGCCAGTACCTGAATGTGGCTTAAACCCAAGCCTGCTCTTTCCATGGTGCAGGTACTAGATAAAGTTTTTCAGAAAACCCGTAGTACTAAGTTTTGAGTGACATGCACTTCAGAGTGTTTATCTGTCTAGATAAATACAGCATCCTATATTACCATTCTCTTTTCTTTTCTTAAGACAGGGTCTTACTTTGTAGCCCAGGCTGACCTCAGCTTCTCAGCAATCTTGGAACTCAAATCAATTCTCCTGCCTCAGCCTTCTAAGAGCTCAGATTACAGGTATGTGCCTCCTTGCCCAACTAACTATTCATTTTGGACAAAAGCTGTTAGTGTTTCAGAAAATTTATGTTAACTGGAATTTTTTTAAATTTTTTAATTGAATATTATCATTGAAGGAAAAGGAAAGATACAGGTTTATACTTGAAACATTCTTTTGGCGAGATCTGGGGAGAGAGTAGAGTATTTATTTAAAAGTTTTAGGGGCTGGGGAGATGGCTCAGTAGAATAAATGCTTGCCTGGCAAGTTCAAGGTCATGAGTTCAATCTCCAGTACCACCAAAAAATACAATAAAATAAAATAATAAAAAATAAATAAAAGTTTTAGGTTATTCATGCTTAATAAAATCATAGTGCTGGGCATGGTGGTGCACGTCTGTAAATCTAACACTAGGGAGACTGAGGCAGGAGGACTGCTGTGAATTTGAGGCAGCTTGGGCCACACAGTGGGTTCAAGGCCAGCCTAAAACTGAAATAAAATAAAATCATAATTGCAGCAAGCAGGACACATTTGAGATCTATAATCTAAGAGCAGCTGAGCTGAAAGTGGTAAAATATCTTCTGAAGAACAAACTAAAGTCATCGTAGCTGGACATGTTGACACATTGTGGTCACCTTGGGCTACACAGTAAATTCAAGGCCAGTCTGAACTACATAGGGAAACCTGTCTCAAAAAAAAAAAAAAAAAAAAAAAGGCCTTCCTGGGATTTTTCTAATTTATGGGCTCAGTATGGAAGGGAATAAGGCAGCCACAGAAAAGTAAACAAGAGAACAATAATTGCTTACTTACATGCTAAGAGATCCTTCAATAATTCCAAACCCACTATCAGTTACAAGATTTAAAGATCTCAAACTAAGTCATTCCTGTCATCCTTTAGGGCTTCCAAAGTTGGCTTTTGTGCCCTGAAAGTGAAGGTGCGCACACAGGGACTCCTGAGCAGGGCGGTGGGCTGCTCTTCTTCCAGATTGCACCAGCTCCCTGGATTTCTGTCCAGCCTAAACACAGCACGTCTCAAGAGAGACCTCCGGGCCCTGCCCAAGTTAGCGCTGCAGGGGTACCCCAGCAAGGTCAGCTTGGGTTCAGGAGATGACAAAGGTTGGGGTGGGCGCACTCGCAGGGAGATACTGCCTGCAAGCTTCTTGTGGGGGGTCTCTGGAGAGCTAAGACCTCCAGGCAAGTGCAACCTGCTCACCAGCCCGCCCACGCGCAGACAACGCCCTAAGGAGCTTCCCCAGGCCTTGCCCCACTAATCTCCGCCCCGCGGAGCAGCCGAGTGGACCTTGGCCCCCGCAGAGCCCCGCCCAGACCGCCACGCCCACCACACTGGCCCCGCCCCTCCCGCGGGCCCCGCCCCGCCGCCCGTGGCCTCCTGGCGCCCTGTGGTGGGCGCTCCTAGCTACCTGCTCGGGCGCCGCCGCTCAGTGGCTCCGCTACCCTCGGGAGTCCTGAGCGGGCCCCTCCGCTGAGGCGCCATCCACCCGGGCCAGCGCGGAGCCGGGCGGGGAGCGGGAGCCGCCGAGCCCGGAACGAGTGCCGCGACAAGGAGCGAGGCAGGCACCGTGCGGGGACGCGGGAGCGACGCGCTCGGCGGTCCGCACGGCCAGACGCGAGCAATCAGTGGCCGAGCGGAGGGGTGGGGCGAGCCCTGCTTCTCCAGCTGCGCCGCGCACCTGGGCACCGGACGCATCGATGCTGGCGGCTGGGTGAGTCAGGCGGCTGGGCCGGACTGAGCCATGCCGCCTTCCTTACGGCCGCTGTGCGTGCTCGAAGGGCCGCGGAGTGCTCGCGGGTTCCAGGCCCACAGACTGAGCAAGTTGAGTTACCAGCCCAGTGCACGGCCAGCGTGCTGAGAGTTCACTCCGCACACAGCCAATCCTTTGTGCTTTTTCTTAGATAGGAAAAGATGAGTTTTGCTATTTTCCCGGAGGGTTCATTATCATTCAGATGCTTTTATTTTAATATAAACTACAGTCAGCTCTGATACACTTGGAGCCTGTTCCCTTTCCAAATTATCATTGCCTTATTTTTAATCTGAGCTGGTTTTCTCAGATCTGAAGAGTGCAGGTTTTTCCTCCCTGTAACCAAACTGACCTGCATCCTAGAAATGTAAATTAATTTTATGTTGTCCAAAATTAAATTAAGAATGAATTTCCTATGAAAACATCGGTCGTGAGGTCTGATAAAAAATACTTATAGACATCTTCCTGACTCTGTTCTCTAGTGTAGTGTATGGTAATTTGAGAACCTTTGGGGATACTGCTCCATGCAAGAGCATGTGTAAGGTGCAGGGTACAACCCCAGTGTACGCGCGCGCACACACACACACACACACTGATTTTGCATTTGTCTGTGTTGCTGAAAATCATAACCATAGTAAAACCAGTGCTGTTCTATTTTAGGGGCAAATGGACAAAAAACAAGTCTATTTGAAAATGAAGATAGACTTCTCCATTTTCATGTTAGCAATATGAGCTTCTTTTAAGTTAGTAATGCAAAACTAGCTAATATCAGAACTGAAACAGTGTTAAAGATGGAATGGAGGAAGAAGCCACCACGTTGGTTTGGTTGGTTGTTTGTTTTTAGAAACAGTCTCACTGTATAGCCCAGGCTGGCCCCAGACTCATGGTGATCCTCCTGAGTCAGCTCTCCAATGCTAAGATTACAGGTGTGTGCCATGCCTGGCCTTCCTTGCTTATTTATAACTCATTTCTACTAGGAGGAAGTCCCTGAACAGAGATCTTGTTATACAAGTTCACAGAAAAGACTGAAATGTCAGATTCCACAGCATTTAAGATGAGACTAGTTCATTTGGACTTGAAAGGAGCTCCACCAAAGATTTCATACCTCTCAAAGGTAAGAACTTTTGACTTCTAGAGAATCACCTTTTGCCTTGGGGTACAGTCTAATGTTGCCAGCAGTAATCTGTGGAAGTGGGCGTTTGTAAAACAATCACAGTGCCCTGGTTTGGAGCAGGTGTGGCAGAAGCATTGAGTTTTATTTTTCCCACATCCCCTCACAAAATGAGACAGAACAGCCAGGGTGGTACAAGGGACAAAAAAGGGCCAAAACAGACCTCAACCTCTTTTTTGTGGGTTGAATTGTGGTCCCCTCCCCCCATACACAAAACAAAAATAAATAAATTAAAATCTTAACACCTGATACCTGCTAATGTCACCTTATTTGGAAAGGTCTGTGTGTGTATAAACAAGGTGAGATAAGATTCTGCTGAGCCATCTCCCTGGCCCCCTGCACTGGATTTCAGTGATCCCGAATGAGAAGAGGGGGATCAGTCAAGCAAGGTGAAACATACCTGCAGTCCCAGTACTTGGGAGGCTGAGGCAGAAGGATCACTGCAAATCTGAGGCCAGCCTGAACTACACAGCAAGACCCTATCGTAAAAAAGAGTCCCTTGTTCCGCCAAAAAAAAAAAGGAAGAGAAGAATTCAGACAGTTGCACAGAGAGAAGATGCTGAGAAGATACACTAGGACACCAGTGACCAAAAAAAAAACCTGGAGTGATGGCAGCCACAAGCCAAGGAACCCTGAGAATTACTGAGAAGGACACGGCAGGACCCTTCTGTGGAGCCTGCAGAGGGAGCACGTTTCACTGATGCCTGGTTCCAGGACTTCTGGCCAAAATTGTGAGAGAAAACTTGGGGTCTTAAGCCACCCAGTTTGTAATCAGCAAAACTAGGACCTGGGTATCCCAGTGAATTGCAAAATTTAAGTTGGTAGGACCGTGCCCAGAGAGGGTATCATTCATGTAGGGTTAGCAGCCTGGCCCGAGGTAAGTAAGGGAAAGAAAAAGGGAAATTCCAATGATATTAACACCAAAGGAGCCCGACCTGGTGGTGCAAGCCTATACTCCCAGCACTCTGGAGGCTTAGGCAGGCAGATCTTTGCAAGTTTGAGACCAGCCTGGGCTACAAAGTGAGCTCAAGGCCAGCCTGAGCTGCATAGTGAAACTGAGCATTGTCTTTTTGACTGTGCATTGTCAAAAAGACAAAAGAAAGAAGAAAAAGAAAAGGCACAGGGGCCAGGGAGATAGCTCAGTAGAATAAGCGCTTGCCTGGCAAGCACAAGGGCCTGAGTTCAATCCCCAGCAAAAAAGAAAAGACATACTGTATATCTGGAAAATTTTTATTTGTAACAATGTATGTGAAGATATCGCTTAGTAAATTTGTCAGACTTTAGGGAAATGAGAGAAGTAATCTTTTGTGCATTCACAAAAATGTCCCAAGTCACATATAAAAGG